AATGTTCCGTAATTTTTCATAAAACAAGTTTGAATTTCCACCTTATTCATCACTTGTAGTTTTCAACGTCATAGATTAATGTTACAAATGTCTGATGTGCAGTCTGAAGTGCTTTGTTTCTTTTCCTCTTTCTTTAGAAAACGGTTCTAGCGATATCAATATTAGTAACCATACACTAAAAAGGAGACTCCATTCGGTAACTGGCCCAGAAAATATCACCTTCCATCAGCTGTGAGCTACCATGCTTAACCTATATATTAGTTCTGATTTTTCTTTCACTTTAATATTACACTGATTCTCTGTGTGTGAATCTTTGGCACAATAATTTCAATTTTTGTTTCTGTTTTTGTGTTTTTTTACCCCATATCACTTGGTTTTTGTATGTTTTCGTTCCTGGAGGTGCCAGATTCTAGAGACTTCGGGAGCCCCAAGTGGATTTTTGTATCCTGTTAGTTTAATTGTGCTACATTCTTAAGAAAAGGAAATGTTCAAAATGCTCTCCTGGTTGTAGTTTGATCTCTTACCAGTCTCATTAACTCAGCCTTTTTTTTGATTTCTTGAACTTCTCTTTGATAGAGTTTGCAGCTACTCTATCAAAGAGATATTATGGTGACGATATTAATTGATATAAATAAATTCTCTACAGAGTACTCAAAGCTTGTACTCCTGTGTAGTTTGAACATCGTAATTGTTCTCCAACCGATAATAGAATTGTTTGGATTTGACACTGATTCGTCCTCTACGGTGATTCCTGATGGCATTAGTTCACACCCGAAGATGGGGATGGAGTTCTGGTAACTCCTAGAAAGCTTCTAGAGATTTCACAAATACTAAAGAATCGAGCCGTTTAAATCCTATCTAATAATACAAACAAGCAAAAGCCAAACATAACGAATCATACCCAAAAAAAAGAAAAACTTTTTAAAACCAGAAATCAGCCAAGTCTGTGGCATCATTGTAATTAGCTTTAGCTAATCCAACCTTTTTAGAATCAAGATTGAATGCCACATAAGCATTTTGTAAGAATAAATCACCAAAAAAGTTATTTCCATCACTCGAACCATAAATTCTTGCTTGACATAAAGATCCTCCCGAGAATTGGTAAAATAAGGTTTGGTAAGGAATGGTTATTGAAACACCATCAAAATTAAATGTCAATTGATTGGAATCCAATGAAAGTTGATCACATGATGCGGTTCCTGATTCACTTAACCCGAGAGCCTGATAAATTTGTTTAGCAACTGATGTTTCCAACTGAATGTAAGTAGTACCACTATCTAATGCAACTGGGATATTGAGATTGACAGTTGATCCATTTGGGGCTGTGACTGAGTCAAGTTTGACTGCTGTCCATGTATAGTCAGCAAAATCGAGTACTGCTAAATCGCCAGAGTATTTGGCTTTGTCAATAGCACCAAAAACGACACTTCCACTGGATGCGGTAGCCAGATTCAAGTATAATGAATAAGCTGTCTTATCAATGATTCCAGCGTTTTTCAACACAGCCGGGAAATTGGGGTATTTGTCATCAGTGGCTTCCAAATCAGGTGAGCCCAATCCCAAAACCCCCGTATCTCTAGCGACAGCATTCATCAACCCAAACTGGATCTGCTCGATTTTGGTGCCATCGGAAAACCAGTAATCGTCTTTACTCCAATATCCAGTAGCTCCATTCCCATCACCGTAATTGCTATTCACCGACGTGGTTAAATTGCGAAATGTGTTGGATATTGATGGAGTGAAACTTCCCAAAGATTTACAATCACTGCCGCCAGTACAAGTAGCATCATTGGATGGGAACCATAAATCAGCACTACCAGTATCAACAGCGACTCCAATTTGTTGTTTGGTGGATCCAATTGAAACTCGAGCGAAATAGTACAATGTGCGGCGGTAGATGGTCTCAGTCTCTTCTCTTTTGGACGAAGGGGTCATATCCACAACATCAAAGTCTAATGTATGGTATTTGGGAGATGCTCTTTTGTCCAAGGGAGCAGCCAAGATTGTAGTTGACAATGTCAAAATTGATAATAATGTTGAAATGTGCATCTTGGTATTCTTTTTAAAACGAGTGTATGTAGTTGGAAAGTGGTCAAGTTGCTCTTGTCGATTAAGAAGACAGCTTTCAGAAGAAATATACCCCGGATTCCAAGCACCATTTATATACAATGTGTCTTCTCAACTAGAAGTGTTGAAAAATAGTGGGCGAAGTAGTTTCTCCACTTGTCCCCATCGCTTCTCCTGAACAACTATTGTTTTTTGTTTTTGTTTTTGTTTTGGGGTTTGTAGTCATTTGTTAGTAAACAAAAAAGACGGTAATTGCCATTGTTAAGAAAACAATTGAATGAATGGATAATTGGAAAGTGGTGCAACTGTCTTATATTGTTTTTGATGTTCTTTTGTGTATTTTGGTTTTGTTCATCAAAATAAAAGGTACGCGCGTCAGACACATACCACAACTTATTAGACAATAGGAGTAGTATATGCCGTGTTGGGCAAATTTTGAAAACAAATCAGAAAAAAAGAATCTGTTTCAGCTATTGCAGCAGTTGTTGATGCTTGGCACGAATTGATGAAAAATTGGGATAACTTTCAATGACGTAATTAACCTTACCACACTTAAACCAGCCTGATTGAAGTAACCAAACTGGGTGTTGCAATAAGACATCCATCTCTTTCACTGGAGCTGATATCAAGCCCATCACATATCAAGTTTGTCATAGCATTTTTTATTTAACACACAATTTTCTCACATATCCAAGCAAAAAAATATACAAAAGGAAATGTGCTGGAATTGAGTAAGGCATTACCATTTGTCAGTCCAAGATATGATACAGTGGAAAGAGCAGAGAAGATGCTTATTTATAGAAACATTAAAGTGTTCTTTAACCTATAAAAATCTAAACATCTACTACCTACTTTTTTGCCTTCTCTTCTTGTTCATCAATGTATTCCACTGCCATTTCGCTCAAAATAGGATACATACCAGCAAATGCTTGCGCATTAGCACTACTGGCATTACCTAACTTCAGTCTCATGGCAATTCCTTGACTAATGACACTCAATCTCAACAAACCAAATACATGGCCCAAGATCCACAACTTTGTTGGATCGTTTGAAGGATCATTCTTGTCCCAAGTCACCAATTTGGAGTAGTTTTGCAATTGGTGATATAAAAATTGTTGTGATTCAGGGTTTTCTTTACCCATTTCGGTCTTGTTGGGATGATTCATCATGATATTCAACACATTGGGGAATTCAAATGGTTGTAAGAAGTTCGACAAGTCAAACAATGGGTGGCCAATGGTACATAATTCCCAATCCAACACTCCACAAACTTGTTTTGTAGTGGGGTTGAATAAAAGATTATCGATTTTCAAATCACCATGAATCAACGTCAATTGTTGTGGATCTTTTGGTGCATGATGCAAGATCCATTGAGTGATTTTTTCGAAATCAGGAATGGGGTCAACGTGTTTTGACTGCAATTTATGGATTCCTGACAAGGTTTTAATTTGACGTTGGAAATAGCTTGACAGTTTTAATTTTTCAATGTTTTGAAATTGGGGGAAATGTTGTGGAGGCAACAATGCAATCAATTTTTCACAATTCAATGAATGGATAGCAGCAATTGTGGTGATGATACTTTTCCAATAGGCTTCTCTTTCCAGTGGCGAAGCACCGGGGATTTCGGGATTTTTAATTTGGATTCCATTGACATAGTCCATAAGGTAAAATACATATCCAATGATACTTTCATCTTCACATAATAAATGAACGCGAGGAACGGGCACTTTCAATGTAGAGGTTTGGTTCAATGTGTTGATTCCATTCAAGATAAAAAATTCACGCTCAACAGCATGGGCCGATTTCGAAATCAATTTAGCATTAGGGCTGGGTTTTCTTCTCAAGACAAATTTCCTACCTTGAGAATCTTCCAAGTAATAAGTGGGGTTAGACTGACCAAATGTGAATTGCTTGACAGTGGTGAACTCACGAGGGATTTCGGCAACTGACCCAATATGGGTCTGTGGTGATGACGACGATACTTTGGACAAGTATGTACGAAGGTTTTCCAAGTTGATGGGTGAACGAATATCAGTTAATTCTGGAGCAGACATAGTAGTTTCTTTTCAACAATAGTTACAGCTTGAGAATGAGCAATTTATCACAAGTGAAAATTGAATTGAAAAGGAAGAAAAAGCAGTAGATTGGAAGCCTTCTTATATAAAAGCCGGAGATAGAGGAGGTTTGAGTGGGGAAAAAAAAGATTATTCTTATTAAAAGAAAACATGGGGAACTACTCGGAACGGATAATTATCACGCGCTACCCAAATCGACAAGGCAGGGGAAAAATCATCTGACTTATATACTACGGATGGAGACACGGATAGAAGTACAACAGACTTCAGATCCATTAGTATGGTTTTCAACTGGTAGACAAGGGTTAGAAGAGACGTTATGTAAACTGGTCCAGTTGAAATTGGCAAAGAAGAGTAAAAAGATTAGGGATGGTTACAGGAATCATACACCATCACCTTGGCCTAAACTGTTCCGAGGAAAACAGTTTGAACTATCATTATACTATGTAGTCAGATACATTAATGAAGATAATGATTTGTTCTCTCTTCTGTATCATTAAGTTTTCGTAACTTCATAATATATGCACCATATATATATATATATTACTGCTAGCATTTTGCATATCAAAATTCTCATATCTAAACATCCTTACTTCACATTTAATGAATAATAATTGTAAATCCCCCGTTGACTAAACTCAACCGGCCAACAATCTTCAACAAACTTTTTATCTTTATATCCATTCAAATTATAATATCCGATTGAACAATTGACCTTACGTCCGGCATATTTCAAAAATTGCGGTTTTTTCAACTTGGTAACGATCTTTTGCCCCGTTTCCAAGTCATAATATACTAAATTTGACTGCGTCATGATTTTATGATACTCTTCTTCGGTAATCTTATATATCCAGGCTCGTCTACCTTCATTATCGTAAAACTTCCACACCTGTGGTGGTGAATATATTGTATCTTCGATAAATGATATTGATAACGACATTGATGACGACGAGGAAGATTGCTGCTGGGGCAAGGGTTGTACTCGGAAACAATCCCCTCTAGACGTATAATCATAGAGTGACTTGTAATCAAATTCAATTGCTTCAAGACCACTATTAAAATTACAGCGCAAGAATGTAACCACATTTTTATTAAGCGACTTAATACCAGTTAAATCAAGGTACTTGATGGTGGTGTTACCCTGCATGAATCCATTCAATTCATCAAGAGTAACTTGCAACGCATGACTAATGTTTAAACTCACCAATTGAGAAAATTTCGTCTTGATGGTGTACAAGATCCTTGAGTTCACTGGCATTCCGCCAATGTTTAAGTACTTTAATGCCGGTGCTTTGAGATGCTTCAACGTGTATAACAAGTAGACATCAGAAAGTGGACTAACCACATTTGAATCAATTTGCAAGTTGAGCCACTGTAACGATCCATTTGAAATGGCTTGATGGGTGGACAAGAAATGAATCAAATCTTTGGTGGTTAATTTAGAACACCTGGCTAACGATAAATGCGTCAATCGAATGTTTTGTGGCAAGTTTAATAAAATCGATGAAGTGATTGCTGTATGACTTAAATCCAATCTTGTTAAATGAGTTGCATTTGTCAAAATTTTGTTCAAAACATTTTGTGATATGTTGGAGCAGTCATGTAAAGACAATTTCGTAATGGGTAACTGGTCTTCAATGTATAATTGGTCAAATGCTCTAGCAAATGCTTCACTGCTAGCACCACAGAAGTCCAATGCTTTCAATTTAGGCAACTTATTGAACAAGATATTCAACACTTCAACATCCATATCGTCCTGAATATTCTCCGAAGCTAAAAATTCCACTAAATTAGGCGTCATTGATAACGCATGAGCTATTGTTCTTGAAGTGACCATTTGTATTTCTTGATTCATTCTCCCAGTGCGACCCAATCCAATCGATGTAAATTGTTGGAAATCCATAAACTCAACGTATTTGCCAATGACGGGGTTTGCTTGCAAATTGTGCAAGAATTTTTCAAATGAATGAGGGCGATTGAATATGGTGTACTTATATAAGAAGCAAAGGGATAACTGATGGAATTTCTTGGATAGTAATGGAACTGTGTTGGCAAAGTTTTCAAGATTGGAGTTTATTGATGAGATATCAGTATCAACATAAACGTATTCAAGTACTCTAATGAGGATTTCCATGGGTAAGGATAACAATGGTGAAAATACCTCTTCTTGTATGTGTGGCTCTGAATAGCGGTACTGGTGCTGGTGCTGGTGCTGGTGCTGTGATGGTTCTGCAATTGAGCCTGTTCCTTCTTTACAAACAGCCTCAACTCCTTCCACATTTGACTCCTCCTCCTCGCCATAAGATGACGCTGGTGAAACGTCAGTCAATTCTGGCCCCACCGTAGCCAGAAATTGTTGTTGTGATTGATGTCCACGAATGTGGTGAACTGAAAAATCATGATGATGTCCTAATTGGGGGTAGGCATCAGTCATTGATGCATCATCAGAATAGTAATTGTATGATTCATTAGAAGTAACCGGGCTTAAAAAGAATGCCGAAGGGTATTGATGATGATTATCCTCTGGAGGTGATGTAGTTGGAGTCAATGCAATATCATGCCGTATCGGTGCAGGTGTAGGTGCAGGTGTAGATGTTGACGTAGATGCAGCGGATGGTTGTGGAAGCTGTTGTCGTTGTGGATTGGAGTCTGATACCGAAAATTGTGCCTTCAATTTACTGCTAGTTGGCTCCCTTTTCTTGTGATAGGACAATGCCATCCCAATAGGTGGCTGTTGTTTGTCTTGATCTACATTATTTGTGTCAGTGTTGGAGCTGCTGCTGTTGTTGTTTTTTGATATTTGTTGTCCCATGCTTTGTAAAAATGCCGAAATACTGCGTTTAATGTTTGATTGTATGAAATTAGACTCGTCGTCAGCAAAGACGTTATGTGATCTCCTGTTGTACTTGTTATTGCAGGTGTTGTAGTATAGATCAGGAGATGATGGACTGATGTGGATATCAGTGTGGTGGGAGTGGTGCTGATGGTGGTGCTGTTGCACTATAGTGGAAACTGAAGACGAAGAAGAGGACGGTGATACCGGTTGTTGTTGTTGTTGTTGTTGTTGTTTATATCGTTTGTTGAACATCTAACTGACTAACTAACTACCTAGGTAAGCAAAGTAAGTAACTAAGGCAAATGTATATGTATTGGTGGTAGTAGTAGTAGTAGTGGTGGTGGTAGTTGTAATGGTGGTGGTAGTTGTAATGGTGGTGGTAGTTGTAATAGTAGTAGTACTTTTGGTAAGGAGAATGATGCAGAAGAAGAAGAAAAAAAATTGTGTGATGAATTTTGTCTCCTATTAACAAAACTACACTTACATACTTACATACTATGCACTTCTATACACACACTATTGATAGTAGTAGTAACGGAGTAACAGTAACGGCGTAACAATGACAGTAACTAACCAACTAAATGTAAGTAAAAAGTATACAATTCAACAGCAGTAGTGGCGTATACACATACATACAATACAATTACATAGATGTATGACAAGAGTATGTGGTAAAAATTAAAGTAAAGTAGTAACTGAACTAATCGGTTGTAGTTTTCGTATTTCGATATTCGGAGTTTATTTTTTTTATTTTTTCCCATGTAAGACAAACAAACAAAAGAGGAGAAAGAGAAAAGTTGTGTATGACTTCGGAATTAAAATTCCGAACTCTCCCGTGTAGTTTTACTTCAATAGTCAGTAGACAAGTCACTTCTTTACAAGCTACACACCTTCATGAATAGTACAAATGACATACAGAAGCTAATAATATATAGTGAACTATAATACCAATAGGCTTACCTACTCCTACATCTCATTGAAATGTCTAATGCAATCTAAAACAAACTGACATATATAAACCAAATAGCCGCTAAGACCAGATCCCCCTTCCTTTACTATATATTTTCTTCTTTTCTAAATATTTCCCATCGTTCATTCAAATGAATGAAAACGCCATTGCATACCAATTGAATTCGTTTGTCTTTTGCCAGGTGTCCTGATTTAAATTGACTAGCTAATTTATCAGGATGGATAGAACTAATCACCTTCATATAATTCAACTTCACTTGTTTTGGCAACACTAAATCATTCAACGATAACTTTAATAAATTTTCATTGATATTTATCGATCCATGGGGGATTATCACTTGCAAGTTTATCAACATTTGTCGCAAGTCATTATTTTTCGATTCGGCCCATTGTGTTATCGAATTGTTAAGTCCATCAACTTCCAATGGATCAAGTTCTTCTGCTACTTCTGATGGTTTTGCTGTAGAAGTAGATGATGTTGTTGCCGCTTTGGAGGTGGTCTTTTTGGTAGGTGCAGTTGATACAGGTGATGCTGTTGGTTTAGGCTTTGGCTTTGGTGTCACTGACTTGTAATTATCAGGATTCACTATCTTATCTACCCTTCTTTTTCCATCCATTACTTTCTTATCCATACACCCCAACTTTTGCACCAATAGATTATACGTTTCCAATGCTAATTGATACTTTTCCAACAACTCCAACACTTCAGCTTTAATAATCACCACTTTTAAATACCAATACTTGACTGGTTTACCTGCCAATTGTGGAGTATTATTATCGCCACCGCCACCACCAGTCTTTTGCAAACCCTTAGGATTACTGCTACATTCTTCCAATTGCATCAATTCTAATGCTTTCTCAACATTCTCCAAACTCTGTTTCAAATGCCCTTGTAATTTATTAGTCAATGCTAAATTGGAATTCATAACCACTCGTAATTCATGCTTGGGTGGAAGGATCGAAACACAAGTAGTATATGATTCTAACGCAGTGGTATAATCTCCCGATTTGAATGCTTCGGTAGCTTTGGCCTTATGGGTAGTGTAATCTGTCTCAATGAATTGATTCAATGGACTAGTGTCACGTAAACTGGATGATATAGATGTAGTGTGTCCTGAAGTAGATATACCTAATAGATCCACCTCCTCTTCTGTTGCGGCTTGTTGTCTCTTGTCTAATGGGGACACAGTAGGTGATGCCTGTTTCTGTTTCTCAGAAGTAGCTGCATTTTGTGATGCTGGAATACCACCACCGTTGTTCCTTGCTGCAGGTCTTGGAGGTTTAGCTGGTGGAGCTGGCGAAGACTCTTTTGAAATGGAGTTCCTTGGCGACGCAACTGAAGAAGACGCACTACCACGATCTTCATCTCCATTAATGCCACTACCACTACCACTTCTTTGATCAAATCTCTGTCTTAACCTCTGCCTTTCTTTCTCTCGTTGTACACGCATAAACTTATCAATTTCATCTTGATTTATATTATCTTCATCATCTCCATAATCTTCGCCGCCAAATTTCTTTTCATATGCTTGTGATTTGTACTTGGCTTGGTTTCTCATCCACTCAGGAAGGTTTGGTGATTGCGATGATCTTCTCCCTATATCAAATGGTGAATTACCACCACTGTTGAACTGTTCAATATTCTCCATCACTTTCCTCTTGGAAAAATTGAGAAATGTATTTGCTTTTTGAAATAAATTGTTGCCCAATTCGTTAAAGTTGATCGAATCGGGACGTTTGCCAAGAATAGAATCGCCTTCATAATTATCCTCGTTACTTGCTCTAGATTGTGATGTGTTTTTATTCATGATGTAGTTGACACATTTTTGTAAATCAGTACCTGAATGTGAAATTGCATCATTAGCATCCTCAATTGTAAATCCTATATCAACGAGTGCAGCAATTGTGTGATCTTTAGCAGATGGTGATGCGCGGCCATTGGTAGATCTAGGAATGGATACACTGGATCTGGTAGACGATACATTTGAGTTCTTTCGTATCACATCTGGTCTCAGAGGTTTGCTTGGTTGTTGTTGTTGTGGCTGCAGCTGCTGTTCCCGCCTTTGTTCAGGAAATAAGTCAGTGAAATCATCATCAAGTAAAGACGTTTCCTGAGGCTTTGCAACACTCGCCTGAGTACTTACAGGCTTAGCCATTGCCTGCTTGTTTACCTCTCCATTGCTAGATTTTGCAAAGATGGAAAATGGATCATCATCAATTTCTTGAATAGCCTGTGGTGTTTGGGACGTTGATCCCATTGCACTAGTGTTTATCGACAGTGCAACACTTGATACTTGAGAACCATTGCTTTTAGTCAACTGTGGTGATAAAATATCTAAATTAGACCAACTTGAATTCAAATTGGACGATGAATTCGACAAATGAGTCTTTTGTTTTTGTTGTTGCTCCAACTTTTGACGTTCAGTTAGGGACAATTTATTGAGTTTTGAATTGACACCATTGCTGTTCTTGGTGTTTGCTGATTGGAATAGATCGGCAAATGCATCTTTTTTTGGTGGCATTGCTTTATTTTGGGATACGTTTGTTGCTGGTGTTGTTGGATTGATCTTTTTATTTTTCAGTTTTCTTTTGTTCCTTTGATTCAGGTCTAGACGCAATTTACGAATCGAGGCAGATGATTAGCACTATAGATAAACCATAGATATACACTCCCAATACCAAAATCATAATACCCCCATTATGGAACAAGAATCTGACGATGAATATAAAGCAATCACCTCGGTACTATCGTCATATTTCAACTTTCACAATTTTCAATCAAGCCAACTAGTTGATCCACGAATCAAAAAACATGAAGCTCTATCAAGTGAAGACCGACAAATTCTACCATGGTACCAACAACATACTCAATTTATACAACAGTGCATTGAAATCAATCGAGATTTTTGCCAAACATTAGCTGAGAAAATTGGTCAAGATTGGGGGATTGAGCAGCCTCCTACAAATTGGGCTAATGCTTCACCGGATCAATTTGCCCAAACTGAAACAATCTTGTTGCAGTTAATGAGGGAGTGGAGTGATCAAGGTGAGAAAGAGAGGCGGACTGGACAAGATTTGATAATATACCATTTGAATGAATTGTTTCCCGATAAATTACAGAGGCAATACGTGAAAGTCTTGGTACCGGGTTGTGGCATTGGTCGACTAGTGTTCGAATTAGTTATGAAAGGGTACTGGACTCAGGGTAATGATGTCGATTATCACGCCTTGTTCGCCTCCAATTTTGTTCTCAATCATTGCCAATTTCCCCATAATTATTCCATTATTCCATTTTTGGCAACTTCGGCGTCGAATTCAACTAGGCGACAAAATCAGATTCGACCAGTCACCATCCCTGATGTATCACCAACAGCAGAGATAATCAACGCTATGAAAAATGAAAATGAAAAGAAAATCAGGGAGAGTACCAATGAAACTCCACCTACAGAGAGGATACCTTTTGATGAGTTAATGTCCATCACAGCGGGGTCATTTACCGATTTGTATGGTTCCGGTACCAATAATGGCAACCCGGCATCACAGGAAATACGTTCACAATCTCAAGGTGAATTTGACGTGGTGGTGACAGAGTTTTTCTTGAATTCTGTACTGTCCAATATTATTGATTCCATACGCACGATTAATAATGTATTGAAACAAGGCGGAACATGGATCAATTTTGGTCCTTTACTGATAGACGAGAGAATCAGAAGCAGTAGTGACAGATTAGATCTATCCCGAGATGACTTGTTTGAATTGATTTCAAAATTGGGGTTCGGCTTCTCCACCAAAGAGTCAGGTATCGAAACAACTTACCTCGAAGATGCCAAACTGATGAATACATCTATTTACAAATGTGAATTCTGGGTCTGTACAAAAATAAACAATATATAAGTATACCAACACCCTCCCGTTTACATTCAAATATTTGTCTTGTATACATGTTCATCTAATCTCTTGCTTACAACATCATCACTATCTTGTAAAACACCTGCATCTTTCAACACATTAGTAGTCTTGACCACGATTTTATCCCAATCCAATGCAACTTCACCGACTTTGTCATTAAATTGGACTGTTTTTGTCCACTGCTTGGCATCTTCAGCAGAGTAATCCAAATTAGATGCAATATAATCAACTGCTTCGTCGATGTGCTGGTTAAAGTATGCAGTACCTTGATTTACCGCTGATATGAAATTGTGAATATCTTGTTGTTTAGCAGCTACTGCTTTGGTTGACGCGGTGATGACCCATGACGGCCAAGGCGTGTAAATCTCTCCAATTTGTTTGATTTCTCCTGAATCGTAGTATTTCTTACTGGTGAAGTACTCCCACATAAAAGCATCACTTATTTCGTAAGCAGGCGAGTCTCCTTGTGGTTGTATCTTGTTTACTGAGTCACGTAAATTCTTAAAATTGGAACAGATGGCAAATTCATTAAACTTGTCGAATCCCATTTGGTGTGCCAACACGAAACTCATGATATATGATCCACTTCCCAAACGTGATATACCAATCTTACCAAAGCTGCGCAAGTCTTGCACTTTTGTAATCTCGTTTCGATTAGATCCAGTACTCACGGCCCACAACAAGGGGGATCGGACATAGGTATCTAATAATTTGATCTTATCATTACCCTTGGCAATATCAGCAACAAATGCTTCCGTCAATCCAATAGCCACGTCAACTTCGTTGTTGTTCAAAAGGTTAATTAACCGACCACTGCCTTCCGGGACTTTTACAAATTCAATTGACAAGCTGTGCTTAGCATAGTAGCCTTGCTGTTGTGCGAAAAATAAGGGAGTTGAAAAATGTTCAGGGATGTAAGCAACTCTAAGGGTTGACATTGTTCTTGTGGCAACAGTGCTGGGTGTGAATATGTAACGAGTGATTCGACCGAACATTTGGGCTCTCGAGTCGCCACAGAAGTTTCTTTTTTTTTTTCTTGGATTACTACGCTTGAGTTTAGCAACAATGGTGCAAAGGTGGACTGGTTGAAAGCTAGCATTCACACCAGATGCAAGCTAAAGCCAATCAGCTGGGTGTAAAGTCATGTCTATTTTTCCATCCAATTGTATGTAAATGTAGAAGATTCATTGATACTATATGCCTTACAAACAGAAGAATCAAATTGGCCTACATTTCAAGACCCAAGCTATGTCTCTGCAACAACAACACCCAAGTCTTCCCCTTCTACTGTATCCCAAAACAATTCCACGTATATTATACTATTGTCTTTTCTTAACAACACGTGGAGGATGATTTCCTATTGTCAACACTAAGATCAATTCTATTCTCATTCACCTCTGCGTTATTGGCTGGGCCGTTACTACCTTGCTTGCTGTTGTCAGGGATCTTTTCTCCAATTCCTACAAATACTTCATTAACATTATACGACGTCTTTGCACTGGTCTCAAAGAATAGTAAACCCTCTTCATCTGCCAAAGCTTGTCCTTCTTCTTTGCTTACCTTCCTCAACAACTCTTGTTCCCCTTCTGTATCTCCATCTTCGGGCTCATCTTCAACCAAATCATACTTATTACCAACAAGGGCAATCGTAATATCTTTACTTGCTTGTTCATGTAGCTCTTTAACCCAGTGCCTAGCTTTAACAAATGAAGCTGGTTTGGTTATGTCATACACTACGATGGCAGCTTGCGCGTTTCGGTAGTACATAGGTGCTAATGATGCAAATCTTTCTTGTCCGGCAGTATCCCAAATCTCATATTTGATGGTACGATCACCAATGGTGCATTTTTGCGTTAAAAAGGCAGCGCCGATGGTTGGTTCTTTATTTTCTTGAAAATCGTTGGAAACAAATCGCAATACCAAGGATGACTTACCTACGGCTGCTTCTCCAAGTAATACTAGCTTAACTGATGTAGCTGGTTGTGGGTGGTTACTCATGGTGGATGATTAGTTTATGAAATATGACGTAATAGGGAGTTCTTTTGATAACAAAAAGTAGTATCGTGGGTGTGTTTAAAAGCTATGTGTCTCACTAACTGAATAACTGGATGGGTATCTAATGATTTGGTAGCTGTTTTGGTTATTAGAATCTGTGGTGTGGTGTGTGTTTGTTAAGTGTGTGTAAGCCTATGATAAGAATGTGTGTGATTTAAATTTCTGATTGCCTTTGCCTCAATAAAAAAAAAAGTCACTTGTAACGAATTTAATTCCGATACAAACTTGTTTAGTCACATTACACTACCTTTGAAGTCCATTGTTTTTGGAAACATCAAAGCAGAAACGTAATAACTGGCAAATGTAGAGGAGTGATTAGTTGAGGCAGCAATAACGTCTACAGTGTGTCTCGAATGACCTTGGACCAGTAAAGATGAAAAAGAACAGTGTTGCAAAAGGAAGAACCTAGTCACATTAATCAACCGAAATAACCGATTATCTTACTACAAGCTCATATTTCTTAAAGCTGTCCCATTCAAAAGAGTGGACCAAATCATTTACTATATCACGTATCACATATCACTTATATCCTTGGTTACAAATAAAAAAAGCAAAATCAGTTCGAATTATTCAAGACCGTCTAAAACTCTACGACTCAACAGCCAAAACACACAACACACCATACCCCTACTTGAGCCAATGGCAAAGGTGGTTCTAAAACTCCTCCACTTCAACTATAATCTTTCCATCATTCTCCTTCAATGCCTTTACGTATTTCTTGTAATCCTTTCTCCAATCAACAATTTTGTCAATCTTGAATTTCAACTTACCATCAAGAATCAATTGAAGGGATTGTTCACACCATTGTTGCTTAATCTTCAAGTAGATCTCTTCAAAATAATTATAAGATGTCCAATTATTCAAAATATTGCTCGACCATTTACTAGTCCATGGATTCAACACGCCTTGCTCACTAAAGTCAATTAACTTATCGATGTTATAGCTTGGTTCTCGTAAGGTGAATTTACAGCCACTAACCACGGCCGATCCCGATTTCTTGGGTTTAAGAATACGAGTGAGAAATGGTTCCTTTGTTCCAGCATCAAATAAGTTTTCAATCGAAGTAGAAATGTGTTGTTTAAATGGCAAGTTTAATGTATCAATTTCATGTAGTTTGGTCGATGTCGATTGGAAATACTTCTTGCATCCAATTAAATCAATAAACAAGTCCAATTTATATTCATTGATATTTGATTTATCGATAAGTTCATTGCTGTGGGGTATCAACAAAGCATCAATCACTTCGGTAGCAAAAAAGTCAGGCTTCTTGTAACTAATAGGTACACGTTCACCTGGGAAATAAAGTCCATCATTGACAATATCAAATGGAATACATCTCAACCGCTTGGTAGTTGATGGATCATAGTATTTCTTTTCAAATCGTTCAATCAATCCATTCATATAATCAAGTGATTTTTCTCGAATAACGAGAATTAAGCTGATAAAGTCAAATTTATATTCCGCCAAGAGTAATTGGATAATTGTCAAGCCAATGTCAGTGTCTGCACCATTAACCAAGATGTTCACTTTTTTATTCTTGACGTTCAACAGTTGAAGCATCTGTTTTGCTCTATTATAAAGCAAAGAAATGGCCGACAACTTGGCCAATGGTGGTATATCCACTTTCTTGGACTGTAATGTCAGTCTGCTTGTCTTTGATGCTAAATCGTCCACACTTGTATCTGTGGTAGCATCTTTTGTTGATTCGACTGGCTGAGAAGGTTCTGTTGAATCTGTTGCTTCCTCAATCTCTTCTGAATCTTTCGACTTTGCTGGCACGTCAGTTCCTCCTTGCTCTTCTGACTTGGCCGGATCTGCTGTACCCGCCGTCTCTTCTTCCACTTCTTCTTCTTCCCCTACGTCGAATGCCTTATTGTCGTCATTTGCATCCAAATCAATATCAATATCCTCCAACTGATTCAACACCCCCTCATCCACTTTTACCAACACATCCCTTCCTGGGTAGATAATCTGACTCGTGGATAAAGCTCCCCTTCTAGAAGTGGGATCGATTAATCCAAATACATGATCTCCCACTGCAAACTTCTTTTGCATTGATGATCCGACATTGGTTACAACACCTGAAAACTCATAACCCAACACCACCTTAACATTACTCATATTTAACAAGTATTGGTTAACCTTGCTCAAGTCAAATGAGTTCAAAGATCCGTATTTAATATCAACAATAACACTGCTTGATGATGGTGGCAAATCAATTGTAGTGTAATGAAATTGCAACTCCGTCTCCTTGTTTTGCACTGAAAGATCCTTGACATCAAAAAATTTCAATTTACTTAAATCTGGCAAGTCAGATAACCTAAATCTACTATTTGGCTTAACAGGTTTGGGTGTTTGATCAATCGGCTTAGGTGGTGCTTGTTTATTTCTCTTTTCCAAATAGGCAAGTTCGGGAGGGATCTTATGGAAAGGGGATGACTTTAATTCGGCTTCTTCTTTTTGCTGCAAGTACTTGTGATATTCTCGTAAATCCTCTTCCGGTGGTGGTGCAAACCCAACTGATTTCTTTTTGGGCTTACTAGGAGATGGGCTGGGTTCAGTATTAGTGACAGTAGCAGTGGTGGCATTGGTAGAGGCAGCCTCCTCATATGGTGGTGCTTCTTGGGAAAGGTCGACTTCCGCGTCTGCTACTTGTGCTTGCAGTTCTGACATTGTAATAAGGATCTCTATTCTAGAACAAACTATTGTATGTGATCTTGGCTTATCAGAAACAAAGCGTGTGTTGGAAGGATGATGATTTATCCAAGGGAGTTTTACACAGAAATAGGACACTCCTTTATAACCGATGCGTTGCGCGGATATTCCCTACAACCGTGCACGTGACTGCTTACACAATGTAAGACAATACTGAGCTATAAAATGAAGTCACCACTATCAAACCATAAGAAGTGTAGTTTCTGGTGAAAATTTGCAAAACAGATACATCTGGTATGCTCTTGCTGTACTTCTATGCGTGTTTATGCTCGCTGAACAGTCGAATTTGAAGTCACGAAAAGTCAAATCTTGAAAATACTTGCATTAGAAGCTATTCAGCCCACAGGTGCTTACGGTTAGTCAAAAGAGTCAACGTCTATAGAATTTCAGAAGATGATTACGAACCATTAGTGTGTACGATGTAGCCAAATCTTTAGTATCTCGGAAGTTGCGATTTACGGATCGTCTCACGACAAAAATTGAAATCACAATTTAAACACGACAATCCGCAGACCGCAGTTGATACTTTACCACAACTAGTCAAGAACCATCAAAAGATAAGTTGAATCAACTTGTGTTTATTTTCTTTCCTTCAGGTGAATAGGTAGAGATGTGGATTGCTCCAGCAGTATGCTACGTCTTAATCTTGCTTCTTTCCCTACTAGGGATAAGATATCACATTAACATCTTCAAATACCCGGTATACTTGACCTTGCCGTTGACATTGGGTATATACATTCCGTTGTCCATTATATTCACGCTCCCCTTAGACTACGTTTCCCACAATACCCAACTGACCCAGGAAATAACCTGGTTTGGCTTGCCCGATACTGTTATTTTGTACATTTGGAAATCGAACTACTGGATAACTTTCCTTCTCACATGGATAATATTACCGATGTTGTTGGAGTTTTATCGGTCGGGCCATCACAACACATATAGTAAACTTAAAGATGCAGTTAGGGAGAACTTGAAGTTCCAGGTTATCATGCTTTCGGTTTCATTGGTTGGTCTTATTTATTTGTTGATTGAGGTTGGACTCAATTTGAATCATTTGAAATTGATGATTATTGCTATTTCGCATGTATATTCCTTGATATTAGCCACTTGGCTAATGGGACACGGGTTGATTAGTCTACCTCGCAATAAATGGATCCAGGGATCGGTGGTCAAGGATTTGAATCACCATTACCTCAAGCTCCCCAAACTCGTTGACGAATTAGAAGACACAAAGATTTCTTTTAGAGAAGATGTGTTGAAAGTGATTGTTTTGAAACAAAATTACACTAGTGAATCAATTGAGGATTTCAAATACCGTGATTGGATCTTAAATTTGTACGATTCGGTGCCTGGAGAGATTAGAGAACAAGTGGAGAAACAATACTTACACGATAATACCATTATAGATCGCGACCAATTGAATGACCAGTTTATGACAAAGTTGAATTCCCTGTTTAATCTGAATTTGAATAGACTTATTGGATACCAATCCGAGTTTAACAGGATGATTTCAAAAGTGCTAAGGTTGGAAGATGTATTGAGTTCTGTTTCATCGAGGGAATTGGTATTTCGAGTAGACAACCATCGCGTTTTATGGAGTCCCAAATTTAACTTTATTTACTGGTACTATATCAGGCCTATATCAAACAAAATAGGATCGGCAGTATTGGGATTGGCGTCACTTGTGATCTTGCAGTCTGAGTTTTTCCATTCCACAAAACTTTCATTGATGAATGCATTTGTCTATTCGACCGACATCCACAACCATTCGTTTTTGCAATTTGCAATCTCTTGCATTACATTTTCGTACATGTTATTTGCCGCGTTGAACTCGTTGACGCAGTTGAAAATTTTCAACATGTATCACTTGGTTCCCCGGAATTCCGATCCTGTCCTGGCTTGCTGGTATGCCATGTATATTGCCAGATTGACAATCCCGTTGAGTTATAACTTTATAACCTTGTTTGTCAGTCGAGAGTCTATATTCGAGACTTGGTATGGTCAGTCTGTACACTTAACTGGCTTGTTCAACTTGTTGAACAATTGGATTCCGAGGTTAATTTTAGTTCCCGTCTTGTTGGCCATGTTTCATGTCTATGACAAAGTCAAGAAAAGACTAGGGTTTGGTGATCTGTATGACTCGTGGATTTTATTCGATGAGGACGCTGAGCAAGATAATGATGATGTAAATAAGCGATCAGACTTGATAATTGTTGAGGCTAAGCGAATAGTAGCAAGAGAAATGTCACGTCGACAAATGCAATTACGTCCTTTCCATTTGACTAATAGTACTGACAACGTTAGCACTCTAAACCCCGCAGATGCCAATTACGAGAGACGAAGAAGGGAGTTCAATGATTCACTAGCTAATCGGATAGACAATTCACCGGACGAAGAGCCCGTTTATTACGATGGTACGTTGAATGCGCCCCAGGGTGGTGGCATATGGGGAAGAATCAGCAACACTTTTGGTGGGTTTTTTGATCGAAGCAATGGAAACAGAACTCTGCAAAGGCCGTACAGAGATGAACCGTTAGATGATTTCGACTACGACCATGATGCTAATGAGAACTTGGTGTTGTAGTTGTGTGTACATTTAATAGTTTTGTACAATGTATCGATTTTGTTAGCAGACCCTGTTCTTTGTTTGGGGTGTATGCGCTTAACAGGGAACGGCATCTTTTTTCTGATGTTACACAAATTTGGTTTATACTTTCAAAAAAAAAAAAAGGTTTCTACTCCAATAACCGACCGAGATAGAACATTTGGAACCTGAAATTCAGTAAGAGCAAAACACCATAAAGCCTAATAAAGCTGCCACCAATTGTTTGCTATTCCCCCCTCCTCTTTCCATCTTCTTACATGTCAATTGCATTTGCTCAAGGATGCCGTATAGTGAAAAAGTGCAAGTCGCTAATACCATGCCGATACATATCGGATTCGGTGGTGTTCACACCTGTTGAGCGATCCCCAGCCACACCATCAGATACGAGCAAACCCAAACTTGAGGGGAGATTGCGTGTCAAGCTCCTCAAAAGTCCATCACACTTGGGCCATTTTACAAGCCGAGTGAATCGACCCTATAATGAGGACAAGTACAGTGCCAATGTATTAACCATCAAAGGTAATGAAGTTTTCAATTTTAACGTATTCGACGGGCATGGCGGAGATCAATGTAGCAAATACCTAACTGAGAACTTGGCATTGAATGTTGAATGTGGTGATGACTTGGTGAAAAAGAAGAAAGCAAGGGAGGACCTAGTCAAGAAGTACGCTAAAAATGTTGGTGGTTATTGGAAACGGTGGTTTAAACACCGAGAAAAGACATTCGCCGCTTGGCAAACCAGCAAACTACCCATAACGAGCTTTAAAAAGGATATCGAAAAGAATGATTTGCCATTTAGGTTACCCCTTTCGTTCCTCAATACAGATTACGAGTTCTTCCAACAGGAACAACAACTGGGGTCCACGTGTACATCAGCATTCTTTCAGACCATATATACCAACCCAGTAAAGTCGGTGCCTGTAATTGAAAATTACTACTTCAACAGAAACACCATTTCTTTGCTAACGATTGCCCACGTGGGCGATACGAGAGCCATAGTGGTGGATAAGAATGGGATTGCCAATGCGTTGACTGTGGATCACCACCCTCTGAATCCGTTAGAAAGTAAGAGACTTCGAAGGTATGCAGCTAATTTTTTCATGACTGATTCCTTTGGGGAAGAACGGTTCATTGCTCTTGCAAACACAAGAGCGTTTGGAGATATCAGTTACAAGGAAATGGGAGTCACTGCTGAGCCGGAGATAACCCAGTATATTGTTGGAGACTCTAAGGATATTTCTCAAAAACTAACAGCAGACGAGATCAAGAAATACACAGTGGGTGGTCTAGGAGGTGATGAATGTTTCCTCATATTGTGTACAGATGGGGTCACCAACGTGTTGACCGATCAGGAAATTGCTGATATTATAATGACACATTACAAAAGACAAGGCCATGTGAAGGCAACCCCGCAATTTTGTGCCCAGGAAGTGGTCAAGTTTGTCGAATACGTTGGAGGTGATGATAATGCCACTATACTAGTGATCAGATTGAATGGATGGGGTAATTGGCCAAATATCGACAGAACCGGAGAGTTGAGACAGCAGAGGCTAGACGACTATAATCCAAGGCGTAATAGTGGTTGATATTTGGTTAGAAGCTTATATTATAGACATCTAGACATGTATATATACAAGGTTTTGCTTTTGTAGGCGGGTGAAATTTTTGTTTGCTTAATTCTTGGAGTATTTGTACATAAATCTCTTTCTCGTTGGCGCAAATTCGCCCAATTTAGAACCTACCATGTCATCAGTGACCTCGACCTCGACGTAATCCTTCCCATTATGTACTTCAAACTTGAGTCCAACAAATTGCGGTATTATCGTACAGTTACGGGCTTTGGTTCTTATACTTGATTTGTTCTGTATAGCCTTCGCTATTGGTAACGGCACAATATGCGGTCCCTTCCAGATTGACCTACTAAGTATTTGTAACGATGGATGCATGTCTTAACTGTGCGAAGTTGGTTCTTTTGACTGTGCAGTTGGATTGTCAAATGTATCTACCCGGTTGGTACAAAGTTGAAATTTTTTTATTCATTTTTTTCTTTTTTCAAAACTGCGCGATCTGATGCGACCCACTTTGAACTTTAGCTGAGCTAAAGAAGAGGAAGGTACCTCAAACTGCGATTAGTGATGTTTGGAGTCAGGTATGATCCAGAAGAAGAGCATAGAAATGCAACCAGCCTGAATCAAAAGAGAAAAAGGGATGTGGATCTGGACTCAAGTGAAAGTGAAAGTGAAAGTGAAAGCGAAAATGAACGGGATGAGGGGGATGAGGCAAGCGAGCTTAGCGAAAGAGATGATAATCAGGAAGACAACAGTGCAAATAATGAAAGTCATAATGATACAATCGATAAAGAGGAGACAAGCATTGGCTTTCATGCTGATTCAGATGTGGACGAGGATGTGGAGATGGAGACTGCAGAGCCCAATGTCGATCCTCTGTATGAATCTAAGCATCAGTCAGTATTCAACAAATTCAAGCAGTCAATAAATACAGTAGAGCACCAGGATACTGTTTCTGACGGCGAAGCGGAGTTCGCAGATGCTCAAGATCTCATACCGCTTCCCCAACCACAATTGCCTCGTGATAGAAAGCTCACATCGACATCACAATTTTCCAAGAATTTGGATTGGTTGACAACACCACAATATGTCACTCCAGACGAAAAGCACTCTTTCCTGGACCTTGGGCTTGATGAGGTGGTGTTGAATAATCTTGCCTCACTCGGGTATGCCGAAGCATTTGCCGTGCAAGTAAATGTCCTCAAGATGATGTTGCCAGAAATTAGGGCCAACAAGAAGCGACCGGACGCTTTTGGAGACATATTGGTCAATGCTTCAACCGGTTCTGGTAAAACTTTGGCATATTCTATTCCACTTATTCAAGCATTGCACAATAGAATTGTTCCTCGAGTCAGAGCTATTATTTTGGTACCAACCAAACCATTGATCAATCAAGTGAAAACAACCATGTTGCAACTATCACAGGGCACCAGTTTATCCGTAGTGGGATTGAAAAACGATGTATCGATCGCAGAGGAGAGTGAAAAGTTGAAAGTATCGGTCCCAGATATTGTGATAAGTACGCCGGGGAGATTGGTCGAGCATCTAAACTTGGGTTCAATCAGTCTATCGAGCTTGAGATTCCTTGTAATTGACGAAGCTGACAGACTTTTAAATCAGTCATTTCAAAACTGGTCGCTGGTTCTCACTAACAAACTCGACGAGCAGCAACATTATGACATATCAGAAAAATGGAGCTTAAAAGTGCAAAAATTGGTCTTTTCTGCAACATTGTCCACTGATGCCGGGAAGTTATCCACTCTTAAATTTCACAAGCCACGACTTATTATTGTCAATGACACGCGGCAGTTGGTCAATGAAATGTTTAGCGTGCCTTCATCGTTGTCTGAATATATTATTCAATTGGGGGTTGCCAAAAATTCTATAAAACCTTTGATACTTGCAAAATTCCTAGTTTCACAAAACAAACTTACCAACGTGCTAGTATTCACCAAGTCAAACGAATCCTGTATCAGGTTGGCAAAACTCTTGCAGCTCATTTTGGATGCACTTTCCCTACTGGTTAATGTGGAATTTATAAATTCCACCAACAACAGAACGTCAGTACGAGCTCGTATTTTGAAAGAATTTTCCAATCAAAAGATAAATCTACTAGTAGCTACAGACTTGATTGCCAGGGGTATAGATTTGACTACAATCACCGATGTCATTAATTACGACTTACCCAATTCGTCCCGAGAGTACGTCCATAGAGTTGGTCGTACTGCTAGGGCAAAAAATTCTGGTAACGCTTACAATTTTGTATTTGGAAAGGGGGAGCAAAAGTGGTTCAATACGTTTTCGAAAGATATTGGTCGTGGTGATAAGGAAGTTGAACCTTTTGAGTTAAAGGTGGGTGATATTATCACTGAAAATGATGAGGAAGTCTATCAAAAAGCATTGTCCAATTTGCAACAACAAGCAAGAATGTGATGTATTTATAGATTTATAGGTATTAACTTCCTCTTATTCATTTGCTTTCCGATTCCATAGCGATGTCTGATTTATGTGGCACATCTCCAAATCATCGATTTGAAATTGGTTCTCCTGTGTGAAACGATGCTGTTGCTATCTCTCTCATTTTGTCACACTGGAAAATAATAATTATGGCGCACAATAAAAATGAGCTGCTGCAAGAAATTTGTATTGCCAGAAAAGCAAATAGCAATAGGGATAACTTTGTACAAGACTATGCCATGACTGATGTCCAAGTGTTTGATCAAGCAGATTTAGAAAGCACGATCACCAATAAAGCCAACAAGCTACTTTTAATTAAAGATGTCGAACAAGACGAAAAGAGGCTAGAGAAAGCTATCAAAAGTCTCAATGTGACAGTAAAACACATCAACCAACTAAACAACAAGCTTTCCCACCCACGTACAAAGATTAGCGAAAAAAAGCGAATCAGAGAGGAGGTCCAGTGGCTTGAGGAGAACGAGCTTACTGGTAAGCGACAGGATGTGGAAGATATCCAGTCAAGAATCAAACTGAACAAACAAGCACTCGATGAACCAAGAGGTGGCGACGAGGACAGTGCCAGAGGTGGTGGAAGACTTCCTGGTGAAAGCGAACGCGATTACCTCATACGTATTGGTAAAATAACAGCATTTGGTAATGAAAACGCGTTCGAACTGGTTGGTGAAGAAAGTCAAAATCACGTCTTCTTGCGCAAGCCAGGATTTGAGCAGGATGTCAAAAGGATAGAGAAACTTGTAACTGAAAATGAAGATAAGGATGTGGATGAGGGTGAATGTATGGATGAAGATGTGGATGCAGCGTCAGATGAGGATTACAGTTATGACGACGAGCTAGCAAAAGAGGAAGAAATCATTGCCGAAGAAGATGATGAGAGTGAAGAAATCGAAGAAAAAGAAGCGGAAGACGAAGAAATTCGGAACATCGATGACGGTAATGAACCTTTCTACCAGAAAAGATTGCAAAACTGGGTAAAAAAGAGATCATCACTTCGACCAATTGATAATAACGATCGCAATGAAGAATGGTTTAAACCACATCCCACTATACCGGACTCAAAACTCAATGACTCCTTCAGATTGCCCGGTGATATTTACCCGTCACTTTTTGACTACCAAAAAACTTGTGTTCAGTGGCTTTGGGAGTTGTATTCGCAAAAAACGGGAGGTATAATTGGAGATGAAATGGGTTTAGGTAAAACAATTCAGATAATATCATTCTTAGCTGGACTACATTATTCGGGGCTATTGCAAAAGCCAGTGTTAATTGTTGTCCCGGCAACTGTGTTGAATCAATGGGTAAATGAGTTTCATAGGTGGTGGCCACCGCTTCGATGTGTAATACTACACAGCATTGGATCGGGGATGGCCAATGAAGAAAAAGTTAGTGAGGCCAAAATGGAAGAGTTTTTAGAAACATGGGATCCACAAACATCCAAAACATCACTCAGGGGTATAAAGACACAAATCAATGCCCAGAAAATTGTCGATACAGTTGTTGCCAAAGGTCATGTGTTGATAACAACATACGTTGGACTTCGAATTTACTCCAAGTACATTCTACCACAAGAATGGGGATACTGTGTTTTGGATGAGGGACACAAGATCAGAAACCCAGACCTGGATATCTCACTAACATGCAAACAAATCAAAACAGTTAATCGGATTATTTTATCAGGGACCCCAATCCAAAATAATTTAACTGAGTTGTGGTCGTTGTTTGATTTTGTCTTCCCTGGCAGGCTAGGCACGTTACCCGTTTTTCAACAGCAGTTTTCTATACCGATTAATGTGGGTGGATATGCAAACTCGAACAACCTTCAAGTAAAAACTGCCTACAAATGTGCAGTTGTTTTGCGGGATTTGATCTCACCTTATTTGCTTAGACGGTTGAAGAATGATGTAGCTAAAGACTTGCCAAAAAAGAGCGAAATGGTGCTCTTTGTCAAGCTAACTAGGGTGCAGCAAGATTTGTATGAAAAATTTCTCGATAGTGAAGACTTGAATTCTATTCTCAAGGGGAAAAGAAATGTTCTCATGGGGGTTGATATGTTGAGAAAGATCTGTAACCACCCGGATTTGATATATAGAGATGCGTTGATGCACAAGGCAAACTATGGAGACCCAAGGAAGTCTGGGAAAATGCAAGTTTTGAAAAACCTATTACAGCTATGGCAAAGTGAGGGCCACAAGACTTTGTTGTTCTGCCAAACCAGGCAAATGCTCGATATTTTGGAGAAATTTGTTGCTAATTTGCCCTTGCTCGATGATAAATCGAAGCGCTTTACCTACTCACGAATGGATGGCTCTACAGCTATCTCCAAAAGACAGAATTTGGTCGACAACTTCAACAATGACCCCAAACTTCACGTATTTTTGCTCACCACAAAAGTAGGTGGCTTGGGAGTTAACTTGACTGGTGCTGATAGAGTTATTATATACGATCCAGATTGGAACCCGTCTACAGATATACAGGCCAGGGAAAGAGCATGGCGATTGGGCCAAAAAAAGGATATCACTATATACAGGCTTATGACGACAGGCTCAATTGAGGAAAAGATTTATCATCGACAGATTTTCAAAACATTTTTGCAAAACAAAATCTTAAAGGATCCGAAGCAGAGGCGATTCTTCAAAAACAATGATTTACATGACTTGTTTACCTTGGGAGATCAAGATGAAAAGGGAACGGAAACTGGAGATATGTTTCATGCTAGAAGTGAACAAAAGTACAGCGGTAATAAGCTGAGGAAATCAGCATCGTTGACGAGAAGGAGGCACGAAAACGATGATGACTATAGTCAAGTTGCAAATATAACCGGTGTTTCAAGGTTGGGACAGTATGAAGAGCAAGAAGAAGAACATAGGCCAGAAAGTAGAAACGATGATAGCCGGTTTATGGATGGGATCTTTGCTCAAAGCGGCGTCCACAGTGCGTTGAAGCATGATGAGATTATCAACTACAATGATGAAGAAGCCCGATTAGCCGAGAAGGAAGCTGAGAAGTATGTGAGTCAAGCAACTGAGGCGCTTCAGAGATCAAGAAAATTGGCTAGGAAGAAACCAGTAGGTACTCCTACTTGGACGGGAAAATTTGGCAGTGCTGGTAAATTGAAAGGCACATTTGGACTTAAGAAGAGGAAGACTGGAGAGGGGGATTCCACCTCCATTTTGAATAACTTGAGAAGGAGGGCTGAGGAGTAGGAAAGACTGTGTGTATACTATAATAAAGAGCAAGCTCTGGTGCTATTAATTTTTGTCGATACATAGGAATTGTGTACATTGAACTTCTGGCCTGCTTTAAAGTTAGCTTCAAACTTGATTCCGAATATCCACTTGTAATTGATTTACAAAGAACTATAGCTGAAAATGGAGAAGTTTTTCTGTTTTTTATGAACTTTATGAGTATTTATCAACTGACACCTTTGTGTAGCACTTGTTGACATCGTAATATAAACCAATACAGCACAAAAACTCGTTCTTGAATGATAAGGAAACAATGCAAATGAAGTACAAGCTCCGAATGACAATGCAAACTCATTGCAATTTTGCTTTTAGTTGGTTTTGTATGACTCACAGAGTTTCTTGTTGAGAATCTGACTGAGGAGGACAATAAAAGAGATCATGATGAATAATGGCCACATGCGGTTGAAATCTTACACTCAAAATAAAGGGACCGTAATGGTGGAAAGGTGCAAAGCAAGAGACAGACATTCTACTATTAAGAAATGGTGACGATCACCTAAAGTCAAAGTTGATATCCAGCTTTGAAACCAGTGCCGTTTGTTTATGGAAGTTGAGAAACAGCTTTATCCGGTGCAAATATAAAACCAGTTCGATAATTTGAAGTCTCAGCGTTGAGTACAACAATGGAAAGATATTTAGTTGACCGTGGCTAGCTCATATTCTTTGGCCGAAACTACGCGGAGTCTCATAACAATGGAAAACATTTACAATACAGAGGGTGCCGGGGTGACCAGTACCTTGTACACCTTTTCCACTGAGCTTACTTCAACTGAATAGCAACATAGCCATGTGGTACCACCTGCTGTTTTTTGCAGTAACAATAGGGGTATTATATTCACATGGTTATGATACTTTACAATACAATTACACTGAACAATGTAGCATAATTTGCACACATTTCCTTTTCACCAATGTGTGAGTGAAGAGTATACAAACCAGAGCGACAAGGGAGAAATGCTACGTCATTTGCAGCACTAAACCGGACTGCAATAAAGCGCCCCTCAAGTGGGGTTATGAAAATCGCAGTGTAATCCAATGAATTTTCACCCACTTTGAAATGTCGCAGCAATTGAGCGATANATAATGGTTATGACTCTTTAGGGATGACTTTGTGACCACCACATGCTCCCATGAAGCTTCCGCTGTTTAGCCCCCGGGCAGCAGAAGAGAGGACGACCGATGGTTACGGAAATTCTATAAATGGAGGAGTTTGCACACTTTTAG